CACTTTAAGGAAATGCTTTGTATATCAGAAGGAGCTTTGCAAGTCAGTAGTGCAAGAAAAACATTGTTAGCAGTCTGCACAATCTTCTGTTTGTTCATTTCAGGTAAATGGGAAATGACCTTGACATTGAATTGTAAGCAAGAAGGGAAATATTCAACATCAGGCATTCGTTACTTGAATAAGTCATTTTAGTGGCTTTCTTTTCTTTTATCATGTGGTAGCTGCTGATAATAAGTGATGCCTTAATAACTACGTTGTTTATCAAGTTCATTCACTTGTGATAACATTTTTGATCTCTACAAAATTATTCCTAATTTTTTTCTTTCTTACTTACTATCTCCACCTTATTAGTTTCATTTTTTTCTGTTATATATTCATTATTCTGAATATTTTTTTTTCTGTTGCAAGATTGAACTACACAGCTATGATATTGATATTGTTTTCTGGATACTCATAAGGAGTTAGAACAGGGACCATTGAATATGATTTTACATCAGAAGGCATATCTTATACAACTTCTTTCTTTTATATTTACAATACTAATCAGTATTCCTTTTCATCTGCTTCACTCTAAGTCATCATGTAGTGCATGCACACAACTGTATCTATCTGAAAAACAGTCTGAAGCTGAAGTATGAAGTAGCGGTAGAAAACTGGTGCATGTGAGATGTTTGAGGTCTATACAGCTAAATTGAGCAACTGTATGGTTTTGTCTCAAAGTTGTCACGTTGGGGTAGGAATGGAAAGAACCTAAAAGTGGATTATTTAGGCTTTTAGGGAAGGAAGATATCCAACATGTGACGTTCAGATGGAACAGAAATAAGCAATATTAGATAACCATCTAGACTTTGAAGTCATGCAGCTATTTAAATTTGACAGAGTATTCTCATGTTTCTAGAGATATCATTTATTTGTATTCTTTTAGTATTTTAAAGAAAAGATGAAAAATGAAATACATGAAACTAATTAAGTGAAAAATGGCCTGATATTTTAAGATAAGAATAATGCTGTGCATTGTGAAGACCAGTGTCAGTTTGTAAAATTAGGATCTTCTACCATTTTCCAATTTGGACATAAATCTTTTCTATTATTCTGTTACTAAGCTACCAATTAATCTAACTTAATTAACATTTGAACCAAAGTACAAAATTTTAGAAGCGTCACATACATCGATGTTTTGACACATCGTTGAAATTATATAGTCCTTTGATGCTGAAATCAGAATTTTGTCTTTGAAGGAATAATCCATGCTTTTATTTTCATTTGCACTTTCTCATCTATTTTTTCCTTTGGTTGCAAACAAAGGTATGTTTTCATTGTTGATCTGCTGCCAAATAAGGTAAAGTTGAAGATATTAATTTTTAAGCAGAAACTGAAGTCAGAGTTTTAGAAAGCTGTCCCAGTTAAAGTTGTTTGTTCTTCAATTTTTTGTCCACTGCACACTTTATTCCTTGCCAGCTTACAAAACTCTTTGCTTTCTTCAGGCTTGTGTTCAGACTAGGCAGAATTTGGAGAAAATGTCTCATATGCTCACCGTTTTTTACTGTTGTACAGATGGTGCCTTAGGACCACCGCTTTTGGTCTTGTAGCTTATGAAAGGATGTCAGTTCTTCTCTAGTAAAACTAAACAGTTTTTCTTAAATAGAAGGGAAAGAAATGAGATATTATAGAGGATGAAACAAAGTAGACACCAGGTGGATAATCCTGGGGAAAAGAAAAAAAAGAAAAAAAAAAAAAAAAAAAGGAATAAAAGAGGGAGAAGAAAGAGGCCGAAAAGTGAAAACTGTAGAAAAGAGATTTGGAGTGGGACATGTTTACTCCTCCCTGGAGCTAAGAACTAGATGGAGGACAGTTGGGCTGCTGTATGTTCCAATGGCATCAGAATCCGATCTCAGGGATAGGACTTCTAGAGCTGTGTCATGGACTTGGAGAAGCCCATCAAGGAAGTTCCGTAATTGATTGAAGAGGATTGGAATCTCCTCTTTAATTAAAGATGGCAAGCTAAAAGGTAGACAGAAAAATTTTAACTTAAGAAGCAGAGAAAAATCTGAAGATCCTCTGCATGTCTGGCTGTGACACAAAGGGGCATGAATCAGGAGACCCAATCAACGTACCTTTCTCTGTTAATCCACACAGTGTTTCTCAAGTTATGCTTCAGGAAATAAGCTGTCTACCCAGAGACAGCCTGCAGCAGTACCTTGGCTCAGTGGGAGGATTTGTAATTCCCTTAAGCTCATGAGGTTCTAATTTGATTAGCCAGCTTAACTGCTTGATGCCAGAATTTAAAAAAAAATAAAAAATAAAGCAGAATTGTAGAATCTGTTTTGCATGCAATAACATGAAACACGTTACTTGGATCTTACACAATATTCCCTTGCTAATATCCAGCCAAAAAAAATTGTTTCTTACATACTTGTCCATAGCCATGAACTTGTGAATTTGAGGGAAGTTTTGTGTCTACTGTTGCTCTTTTAATTTCTGTGGTAGAAGAAAAAGGCATTAAGTTTCTCTGTATAATGAACAGATTCAAACTGACATAGATTTTGTTTTTATTTATTTACATGCACTATAATTAATAAAAGAAATATAATCATATATTTGTGCTACAATTTTAGCCCTGGAACTGATTCATAAGAAGACTGCATTTACTTGTGTTACCACCTCACTTCAGGTGGAATTTGTTTTGCCTTTTTTTTTTTTGTGTGTGTGTGTGTGTGTGTGTGTGTGTGTATGTAATTACTTTTGAACGCATGCGGTTGAAGTAATGTATACAAACAAAACCTCTTTCCTCTTCTTTGTTTCTGGATTAAACATATAACTGAGTCATAGAATCACAGAATGGTTTGATGGGAAGGGACATCAAAGCCTATTCAGTCCCAACCCCTGCCATGAGCAGGGCGGCCCCCCACCAACTCAGCTGCCCAGGGCCCCATCCAACCTGGCCTTGAGCCTCCAGGGACGGGGCACCACAGCTTCTCTGGGCAGCTGTGCCAGCACATCACAGCCCTTAGAGTTAAGAATTTCCATCTAGTATCTACCCCAAACCACCCCTCTATTAATTTTACCTCGCCCTTCTTTACATCTGTTGTTGCTGTTTCTCCTTTCTCATTTATCAGATTTTAATACTACATCTTAGTATATAATCATTTACGTTTTTTTTTTCCCGTAAAATGCTACAAATTTATTTTCGTCTGTCTTCTAGTTGACCCAATATATTTGATTAAGACTGGTTAAAGGCAGATTAATTTCAGATTTCAGATTTTCAGACATCACCTTTGATTTTTTTTTCTGCCAGTGGTTATCTATTTGTTTTTAATAGGTTTTCTGTGGAATTTGTTTAAATTAATATTAAAGCTACTAAACATTAAAGATTATCATTCTAACCTTGTAAGAAAGATGAAACTAATCTTCTGTGAAATTAGGCCAAGATCTGCATAAATACTGAGTGAACACATAAGGGAAATGAATGCATTTCTAATTGTGTTCTCTCATATCTTGGGCCATACTGGAAAAGCAGAGTTCTTGTTATATTTAACAAGATTGGGAGGATCGAAAAAGCGATTTGACTCATGGGTCAGTTTTTATTAAAAAGGTTGTTATGGGGTGGATATAACGAACAACAGAGAAAATTTAACGAACTGCAAATCAAGTTAATGAATTAGAGTCATCTTGTAAGTGGCCTAGTAAACCATATGTGAAATATATGTAGAAGAGTTCTTGTAGCATCAACAGATTAGTATTTTCAAACTGAATTTGTAAAGAAATATATATGCTATGAGAAAATTTTCTTCCCATTCCTGCTTTTTTTTTGTTTGTTTTGTTTTGTTTTTTGTAACTTTCATTGCTTTAATGTCTCTGGCTTCTGATTATTATCTACTGTAAAATACCATCAATAGGAATTAGTGTACACCAGTGATACTGTTGTAGCTGGGCAACATGATAGCTATACTTCTGTTAATACTGTTGAGTTTCAGCTTCAGAGGGAATTTATATTTTACTGTGTGCATCAGAAACGTCACATTCTGCTACTTTTATAAGGTCTGTTTTAGTAAAAACCTGTGCTTTGAAATGAACATCAGGAAACTCCATTTCCTTGACATGAGCAACTAACCATGCTTCTTGGCTGTTTTTAATAGTTAGTTGCCATATTTTCTTATCCCTTCTCAGGACCTTTATTTGCTGTTTCTAATTATTTTCCAAGTCCAGATGGTTTCTCCTCTGGTTTATGTTTGCAATGCTGCCCATATTGTATAGTGACACCTCACCTCTCAGCTATAGAAAACAAGCTGGGAAGGACAGCATGGAGTGTTGGCTTCAACCTGTTTTATTTATTTTCAACCTGTTCCTGTATTTACTCCAAATGCTTCAGTGCTGTTAGATTTGAATGGTGTCATTCACTGATTAATAATTTTTAATTACTCGCAAAGGATGTACTTGGTTAAAATCTGATTACTTTGAATGCAAATCAGAGAATCAAGTTCAGTATTGATGACACATTTCTTCGTTATTTTTCTTCACTATATGCATCTGCTCATGCAAATTTGGACAGAACTGACAACTCTAAACACCTTGTCAGAAAACATGCTTATAAATTTCCAGATCAAAGAGGCCAAGGAAGGTTGGATGTCATTCAAATGGTCACTTTCATGTTTTTGTATTTGCTGTTACTCTCTCAGATTAAAAATTGAGCATAAAAGCAGTTTCATATACAGAGAAAACTAACTTTTTATGTATCACAAATGCAGTAGTAGAATAACAAAAATGAGAAGCCTGATGATTTGCTTATTTGTAGGAAAGAGATATTGTAACTTATCTGTAAGATACTTACCATGATAATTTCACTACTGTTTATAGTCTTCATTTCCTTGTACAGGTGTATACTATTAACTCATATATGTTATGTATATAGTGTATGTGTGTATAATTTTAAATTGCTTTATATTGTTTGTTTGTTTGTTTGTTTTTCCTCACTACAAAACCAGCTTCTGGTATTTTTTCAGGTGTCCAGAGATCTACCAGAGAAGCAAAAAGAAATAGAAATTCTGCTGAAGGATTTCATCGACCTTGATCAGCAAATAAATCAACTGACATTGTGGATAACACCTGTCAAAAATCAGCTAGAGCTTTATAACCAAGTGGGTCAGCCAGGAGCTTTTGATATTAAGGTAAACTTTCTGTTTTAAAAAGGAATCTAGATGTTTAATGGTCAAAATGTCAGTTGGAGCATTAGCTGCATGGCTTGTATTAATAATATAGCTTTGATATGTAAATCCACAACAGTTCCTTAAGATTCTGCTGTATAAAAATTCTTATTTTTTTCCATTAGACAGTTTCTTGTGATAGAGCTGTTTAGGGTGGCAAGGTGAAATACAAAAATAGTAAATAATTTTTGCTAAACCATATCTTGAAAGAAGAGTCCAAAAAGCTAGTACATCAAATTCAAAATATCAGTGATGGGCCGTTTGAGCAGTTTTCATCAAGTCAATAAGACTAGTTGAAAATCAGAATATTTAGGGCTGCATAAGGATTCTAATGGTGCAAGAAATACATATAACTGCTAATCATCTCAGATATCTAGAAAGCAACAAAACTGATTGTTCAGTAATTGTGAATTAAGTATTTAGGATCTACTCCTCGATGTATATTTAGTTATTAAAAAATACCTATAAATAGGCAAAGATTAAAAACCAGCACTGTTTTTTGTTGGTTCTCATGTTCCAATGTTCTGCAAAAAGAAAAAAAAAAAAAGTAAATATTTTAAACTCTTCTTACTTTGCATGAAATGGAATAATTGCTTCTAAAGTCATGGTTTTTTGCAGACAATATTTATTAAATTCACTTTATCCTCAGTGCTTTTGTGCAGCTGTTTTAATGCTGAAACTTTTCTGTCATACAATCACATTATGGAAAATAGTGAATCTCAAGTTCTGTTGTAGTCCTATAATTGGCAGAATGAGTTCAGTGATGACATTCATTCCCTTTTAAAAAGATAAATTAGGATAGCTCTGCAAATGTCTTTATATAAATGGAACAAGGGATGGAAATTACTTCAAAGAAAATTATCTATGCTCACTTCCTGTATTTTAAGAAAAATTTTTAATCAGAATTCTTCCATTTCTTTCTTTCAATCTTTTTCATTCTTTTTCTTATAGACTGATTCCACCATTAAATTTGCTCCAAATTATAATAACATTGTTTTTTTCTATTGCTTGTGAAAGAGATGTTTTGTTTGTTTTTTTAGCTCCTTTATGGTGATGATAGAGGAATATTTTTGAAAAGCTTTTAACAGAATAGGGAAAAAGAAAGTGTATAGTCCTGATGTGGTGCGATGAAATCTTGTACGATCAAAGAGGAAAGGGAGTACTGAAGATCATAAAAGGCAGGCAAGTAAGGCATGAGCCAGCAGAGATGTTTAACCTATCTTTCTTTTGTCATCACTGCATTTGGAACTTAATAGACAGAGTATGTGGGAGAAAATTTCTTCATAATGTTTCTGGATGCATAATACCTATTGTTTCCTAGAATTGTATCCAGAATCTAGTTGGAGTAGATAGTGGAACAGGCTCCTTTTTTCTTTACTGTGATACAGTTAGGAAATAGGAGATGAGATACTTCAAGCATAGAGAGATGGGACGTGTCCAGCATATGCCTTGGTCATCACAGGTATTAATCTTAGGGCACCTTCTCTTTTTCTCTCTTTGGTTGGACTACTATGTGTCAAGTGAGTCTTTAGGCAACATCTTAGCTTCTAAACTAAATGCATATTTCAATTTAAAAGGCATAAAAAAATTTAAGAAAATTGTTAACACCATAAGTTTGTTGAAACAACACTTCTTTAAAACTCATTCACTCTCAAGAAGCATACTGTAATTTATAGCAGCTTTTATTATAAAATACATTATTTTTATTAAAATTGAATCTATGTTTTTCTATTATCCCTTTCTGCTCTCACAGTTCTATGCATCATTTAAAGAGTGACAGTGTGTCTCATGCTACCCTAATATATTTTATGCCAATGTAATTTTTGTTCATAATTTTTTTTACTGTAATTTAGAAACCACAGTGCTTTCAGACCCCAGTCTCCAGGCCTTCAGTTAGGCATCATAATTCTTAGTGGTGGTTTCCAAAATCCTAAATAGAATTTAATAACTCGCTCATTTCTTGTTAAATAATGGTAGGGTTACTCCTGTAACTCTATTAGTTGATTTAGCGAGTAACCATTAACTCACTATACAGGACTAATCCAGAATCTTATTTCCAAGATTTAAAAAACATCTCTAGCGGTGTATGCTGTATTCACATTGTTAATCCATTATTACGGTTTTCTTTTATAAATGAAGATACATATTTTTAAATGTAACAAAACAGTCTAAAGAAATCAGCATTGGAATTCATATTTGCAAGCTACCGTTTTAATAATACTGAAGTAGATCTTATTTATTTGTAAGTATTATGTAATTTTTCTAGCACGTTGGCATAATGTCTCATTCCAATATTGGCATAATAATAGAGACTGCTCCTATGAAATACTCATGTATACACATGGGGAAGTACAAAATCTGCATCTATTATAATTTCTGAACATACTGCTAGTTTTGAACACTGGAACACTTCAATAATTGCAGTAAGCCTTCAATGTAGCTTCTCATGCATCTTGAATATATTTAATGCCGTGTCTTTTACAACTGTTTGTGTTTTTCTAGCTTAGCATATGTAGGAGAACTGTCAGGTCAGGGCTTGAACTGGTGATTGATCACCTGGTGAGGAGGTGTGGCTGGCCTAAGGAGCACAAGCAAATGGTCTGCATTGGTGCTCCCCACATGACCAGAAGGGGTGATCCAGGTGGAGCCACCCTGTACTCACTTGAGGGCCAGCCCCTAAAAGGAGTGTATCTCTTCAACCCAGGCTGTTTCTGGGAAGGAGAGCTACCTAGCCAGAGAGCCCCTTCCACCAGTTGGGTGAGTTCGAGTGTTCTTTCTCTATGTGACTATCTGGTTCACCTGTGAATACTTTGCCTGGTATTGCCAAGAGCCTGTCAGAAGCAATTTTGCTTCTCTGTGAGTACAACTCCAAGTACTTATGTTTTCTGTGTATTTTCTCTTTGGTACAATGTTACTCTTACAGCAATTCTGTGTGATTTTGTACTCCCAACTTAACAAAGTTAGTCGGATGTAGTAATCATCGGTTTCCAATTTTACAAAAAGGTGTGATTCAAGAAAATATGATGAAAGTTGTCCATCTTACAAAATCGTAAGATGATAATACTTAACAGCTTTGTGTACAGTACTGCATTGGATATAGCTAAGTCAGTAGACCACTTCAGAATAAATATGTTCAGGTCTTATTGTACGGATACTTTTGTACATACCAGTATATTTTTATTTTTATTTATATTTATATTTTTATTTTTTATCAGTACTTCTGCCAGTAATGGCAAGTGAAGCCTGTAATTACTTCTGAAAACACGAAGTTGAAGTAACATATATAAACAAAACCTCATCTTTCTTCTTCTTTGCATCTGGATTAAACATATAACAGAGTCATAGAGTCACAGAACGGTTTGATGGGAAGGGACATCAAAGCCTATTCAGTCCCAACCCCTGCCATGGGCAGGGCTGCCCCCCACCAGCTCAGCTGCCCAGGGCCCCATCCAACCTGGCCTCAAGCGCCTCCAGGGATGGGGCACCACAGCTTCTCTGGGCAGCTGTGCCAGTGCCTCACCATTCTCTGAGTAAAGAATTTCTTCCCAGTGTCTAACCTAAGTTTCTCCTCTTCCAGCTTAAAGCTATTCATTCCCCCTTGTCCTATTACTATTACATTATGTGAAAAGTCAGTCTTCTGCTTGTGAGTTCCCTTCAAGTACTGAAAGGCCGCACTGAGGTATCCCTGGAGCCTCTCTTCTCCAGGCTAAACAAGCCTAACTCCCTCAGCCTGTCTTCATAGGAGAGATGCTCTAGCCCTCTAATCATCCTTGTGGCCCTCCTCTTGGCCTGCTCTAACAGCTACGCATCTATCCGGTGCTGATGCCCTCAGGCCTGAATGCAGTACTCCCCATGGGACCTTGCTCTGCTGGCCACCCCTCTTTTACAGTGGCTCAGGACTGAGTTGGCCTTCCCAGCTTTAAGTACACTCTTCTGGCTCATGTCCAGCATCTCATCTATCAGATCCCTCAAGTCCTTCTCCACAGGACTGCTCATCTATCAGACATGATTGAAATTAGTATAGCTAGCTCAATTTGAGGTTGGAAGATACTGCCTTTATCATCCCATCTGACGTGCTGCATAAACTGGTCAGTTTGGTTTTCTCAGTTATTTTCTGCCTGAACTGCTGCATGCCTTTATCAAAAATGACCAAACTGAAACGAGGCTGCTTTCTAACCTTCAAGTATGGACACTCATTTTGTGGTGAACTGCTTCAGTAGTTGAATTTAAAAACCTGCATGTTTAACCTAGACTGATTTTGTTTACATTCATCTTTCTAGCAAACTAAAGAGAGCTTCAATACTGCATTCACAGACAATACTCAAGTTTTATCTTAAACTCTGCTTACCATCAGTACTGTTGTCCTAATTCAGAGAAGAAGGCAAATACGGATTGTATAACGAATCTTATTTCAAAAAGTAATTATTTTTTGTTCAAAGCAATTATTTTGTGGTCCTGATAATAATGTGATTATCTTTAATCACAAAGTTATTTTAGCTAAGTCTAATCAGTTGAAGTAAGTGGCAAGTGTTGCTATAATGGAAAATGTAGGAAATTTCAGCATTGTCTCCTGAGTAGAATATATGAAGCTATGCACTAACACTTTGAAACTTATTCTGATCCAGTCATCCAGATTTCATAAACTTTTTTAGGGATATATTATTCTGAGCCTAGGATCAAGACCTGCACAATACGCACTTAGAAACAGTTTTCCTAGAGCATCAATAGCCTGTGCAGCTTCAGAACTATGGCTAAAGGAATTTGTGCAAATTCTGGTCTCTGCTTCTTCCTACTGAGTGATCTGCTGTTTGTTTGTTTTTACTTTACCTGAAAGATAAGTTGTAAGGGAGACCTCAAAAGACAATTATAACTAGTGGTTATGCTAGTGATTTGGCTCCTATACCTTCAGAAAGTCTAAAGAACTTTTTTCTTGGTTGCTGCTTTTTTTTCCCCTCTAAATATTT